TGATCCGCCCGTCTCGGCCTCCCAAAGTGCTGGGATTACAGGCTTGAGCCACCGCGCCCGGCCTCTACCAAGGACTTGTATCGTACAGGCCTGTGCGAGGAAGGACTGACCTACCTACAATCACAGAGGGCTTCCCTGCAGAGGGGTGCTCCGATGCCCAGGAGCCGGCTGGAAAAGGGAGAGGAGCAGCCACAGGGGACTCCAGTCCAGTGGGCATCTGTGGGCCGGTCCAGGAGGGATCAGACCCTAAGGCGCTGAAGAGGCTGATGGCTGTCCTCACCTCAGTGGCAGATGAAGGTCTCAGGGAGGGGCCCACCCACCCCAGCCTGGGCCCTGTGTGCCGCTGTGCCCTATCTTTAGAGCAATCTGATGAGGTGGAGCCATGGGCAAACCCTTACAGGACAGAGGCCGGAGATGCCAGCACCATGCCCGGATCCCCCATGCCCGGGTCCCCCTGCCAGGCCCATGCTCTGGCCACACCTTGGGACCCTGATGCCGATTCCACCCCACACTCACACAGCCCCGAGAGTGAGGGACTCGCCTGCCTCGCCCTAATCCTGTCTTTATATGAAACTTGGATATTTGGTTAATTGTGAATTGTTCCTATTAATTTAGACTTCTTAAAAATACGGGCCCGGTGGCTCACACCTGTAATCCCAACACTTTTGGGAGGCCAAGGCAGGTAGATCACCTGAGGTCAGGAGTTCAAGACTAGCCTGACTAATATGGTGAAACGCCATCTCTACTGAAAATACAAAAATTGGCTGGGCGTGGTAATTAGCTGAGTGCATGTCTGTGGTCTCAGCTACTCGGGAGGCTGAGACAGGACAATCACTTGAATCCTGGAGGCGGAGGTTGCAGTGAGCTGAGCTCGTGCCACTGCACTCCAGCCTGGGCAACAAGAGCAAAACTCCATCTCAAAAAAAAAAAGTTAAACTTAGAGTCACCATAAGCCCCATCAATTCCACTCCTAAATACACACCCAAGAGGATTGAGGACAAGTGTTCAACCAAAATCTTGCACACCCATGTTCATAGCAGGACTATTCACACAAGTGGGAAGGTGAGACCACCAAGTGTCTGTCAGCTGATGACTGTGGTCCAGCCGTGCACTGGAATATTATTCAGCCAGGAACAAGGGTGAGGCCCAGCTGAACCTTCGAAATATCGTGCTCAGAGAAAGAGGCCAGACATGAAGAGCCAAATGCCGTTCGATTCTATTTTTATGAAATGTCCAGAAACCCATAGAGACGGAGTGACTGCTGCCAGGTACAAGGCTTTGTTGGAGGTGAAGAAAATGTTTTGGAATCAGATCACGGTGATGGCGGCACACATTTGTGAACGCGTGAATGACACTGAGCGGTTCACCTGAAGAGGGCTGACACTCAGGCAGGTGCCTACACGGAGACGCATCCAGCAGGAAGCACGCTCACCTCAGGCAGCAGCTCCCTGGGGAGGGGACGAGACTCGACAATAAAAAGAGACTTTGGTCTCATTTGTCACGTCTAGTGCTTCGCAGGAGGGGGCGGGGGGCATCCTTGCAGTTCTTATATTATCAAAAAGTAATTTTGAAAAGAGGGCGCCTACGTTATCTTAAGTGAAACAACTCGGACACAGGAAGACAAATACTGCAGGTTCTCATTCATAAGGGGGAGCTAAGTCACGAGTGCTCGTGCAGCCAAGTGTGGACGGACGGACAATGGGGCCTCGCAGGGTGGAGGGAAGGGAGGACAGGTGGCTGCTCGGGGGTGCCGTGTGCATTGCACCCTCCACGGATGCACCAAAGGCCCCAGGTCCACACAGCACAACGTCTCAATGCAGCATCATTGTACTTATACCCCACGAAGCTACACTAATAAAAACCATGAGAACATAAAATGGGGTGACTAGCAGTGAGACCACGTGGAGGGAAGATGGGGGGCTTCTTCCTTCCCCCCAGCAAGAAAGCCTCCACCCTCCCAAGTGCCCAGGCAGGGCCCACATCTGCACCCCTCCTGCCCAGCGCAGCCTGGCCCCATGGGCACACAGCACTGCCATCACGATGCCCCCCAGCCAGGCCAGCAAGGGCTTGTCTGCAGGGAGTGTGGGGATGGGCCCCGTCATCACAAAAGGCAGCCCCACTCCTGCAGGGCCACGCTAATAGGTGACCCATTTATCTGGGGGCCAGGGCTGCAGGGCTGGCCTGCACTGCCCACCCCACCCTTTATCTATCACTCCAGTAACACAGATACCAGGCAGCACGGCCGGCTTTTAAAGGTGCGTTTACAGCGAGATGCCTTTGAAGCTTATCTCCCACCCCTCCCAGCTCAGGGATAAAAGGCCCGAGAGCTGCCTCACCCCTGGGGTGGGGCATTGTACCCCCATCTGGCCCAGGAAGCAGGCATGGGGGGCCATAGGGAGCCCTCTTGGTCCCCCTCCCCAGGCCCAGCAGCCCCAGCCCCTCAGGTGCAGGTGGGGGTGGCTGCTGGGGCTGGGAGGTCACACACACACTTGGGCCCTCATTCCGCAGCTGTATAATGGGGCGATGGAGCAGCCCCCAAACTGAAACCTGGCCACGGTTTGCCAGCAGCGTGTTGAGGGCTTGCTGTCTCATTCCGCGACGCTTTCTGTGAACCTGGACGCCGGTGCCTGGGTGTCCATCACACCCCCCAGCTCCTGACTGATCAGGATTCAACAGACATTGGCTGAAGGAATGAACAGGTGAGTGGTACCAGGACAGGACCCCCTTTCATCCTCATCAGCCCTGCAAGGGACAAGTAAACTGAGGCTCGGACAGTGCCCTCTGTGTGCCCGATTCTCACAGCCAAAGGTCCCCTAAATGTGTGAGTCACGTTCATGGCCATCCATGTGCCCAGAGCCTGGACAGGGCCTGGTGGGCGGCCAGGAAATGGGTCTTGGGTGGTTGCATGAATGAACAAAGGGGGCACACAAACCCACGGTTGTAGGACACCGACCTCCAGCGACATTCGCCCTTCTCCTCTCCTAGCCTTCCCTCCTTCTCTGTCCACGGTGCAGGTGCAGTACCAGGGGGCCGACGATGTTGCCTGGAGTTCAGGGTAGGAGGTTGCTGACCTGGGGTGCCACCTTCCCCCAGGGGACCCAACCACAGGCATAGCCTGCACGGACACCTCTGTCCTGTATCACCAAGGCCTGGACACGGCAGGGTGGGGTCCCTAGCCAATGAGCCAGGGCAGGCAGGCGCGCAAACTGGCTCAGTCCAGGAGGGCGCTTGGCTTTGCCAAGGGAGGAACTTGAGGGCGAGCCGATGGTGTTAGACAGCAGCTTTGATTGAAGCAGCCATGCACGGCAGCTGCAGAGGGACCCCTTCTCGTGAGGCAGGTCTCCCTATAGGCAGTGAGCCCAGAGCAGAGCTCGCATTCATACCTGGAGGCTGCAAGTTCAAAATCAAGGCACCAGCTCGCTCCATGTCCAGAGAGGACCCACTTCCCGGTTCATAGATGGCACCATCTCGGGTCCTCACATGGTAGAAGGGGCAAGGGACCTCCCTGGAGCCGCTTGTAGAAGGACACCGACCCCACTCAGGAGAGCTGCAGCCTCAGGACCGCGCCATCTCCCAGAGGCCCCGCCTCCTAACATCATTGCCTTGGGAGTTAGGATTTCAATGAGAATCTGGGGCAGACACAAAAAACATCCAGACCACAGCACAAAGCAGCTACACGTGTCCACGCACACATGTGCACACACACACACATGCACACACAGGCACACACACGTAAGACATGCACACACACTCGTATCCACACGCACACGCTCACACATGCACACAGTCCCCACACAGGTACACACAAAACACACTCCAGCAGCAAACAGACCCCATTCGCAAAGGGCCCAGCCAGAAGCAGGGAGGTGGCCGGAGGAGGGGCCTCCACAAAGCTCCCAGGCCAGCCAGAGCTGGAGTGGCCCATGCTGACCACGACCTCCTCCCAAGAGCCCAGCCCTGAGTGGGAGGGCATCGTGGGGCCAGGGACGACCAGCCCTCATCCCAAGCCCAGAGCTGGGCCACCAGCCACCAGCAGGGGCCCTGCCAGGGAGCAGGAGGTCCGTCCTCCCCTCACGGCAGGGGCTGCAGGCCAGGCTCCCAGGCTTCCCCCTCGGAGCCCCGTGCATCCCTCGGGTGCCCTGGGGATCGTGGTCCCAAGGACTCGGGAACCCCCGGTCTGCTTCTGTGCAGAGCTAAGACAGGCTGAGGATGAGGCGGAGGCAGAGGTGGGGAGGAGGGAGTGGGGAGGAGTCGTGGGGAGGACACAGCGGGTGGGGCACGGGGGTTCAGGGCTGTGCCCTGCAGCCACAGCGTTGCTGTCCGGGGAACACACGTGAGACCACAGTGTAAGGCTGCTCCAGCACCTGGGCCGTGCCATCCAGGGCCAGGCCATCCCCCAGACTATTTGCCCCCCTGGGCGCCACCTGGCCAGGGTCACCCAGCCTACCTGGAGACCGGAGAAGCCCACTCACAAGCACTCACGGACCCCGGGCAGACTGCGCAGACCGGACGCCCAGCGCGCCCAGGCCCCTCAAGCAGAAGGCCTGTTTTCCCGGGCAGGGCGGGCATGCTGGGCGGGCCGCTCCCTAGCAGCTGCTGGATTTCCGTCCGCTGGGCTCTGGCAGGGACAGATCTTGAGACTATTATCCCCAATTTACAGGCAGGGAAACTGAGGCCAGAAAGGAGACTGTCACCTGCCTATGGTCAGCCCACAGTGAGCTGAGCTGTGAACAGCAGGAGGGGCCACTCTGCACCAGAGGCCACCTGTCCCAAGGTGGCAAGACAGTACGTTTACTCACTCCCGCCTGCAGCCCCTCACCTGAGCACCCCTGCAAGCCCTCCACCCTTCCCCACCCGGGCTCTTCGTGTCCTTCATGTCCCAGGTCCCAAACTGGATTCTCAGTGCTAACCAGCTTGGCTCCTGCCGGCAGCCCAGCCTCCTCGCGGTGATTATGAGGAAACAATCCCCTCTATGTGGCTTCAGACCCAACCTGTCCGGCCACTTTCTGCGAGATGGCAGAACCCGCCTGGCGGCTCGGGGCAGTCTCTGCCTCCTTTCTGCTCCTGGCTGGGAGAATCGAAAACCCGTCAAGCGGGTTTGGCCAAAATCCTGTCTTGTTGCCTGTGCAGGTTCACACCCCGCTCACTTCTCTCTCCCCGTGGAGAGCGTGGGGGGCTCCGCTCAGAGGTCGAGGGAGGTCGAGGCAGGGCCAGGAGCCATGTGAGTACCCGGGACCCCAGGGCCAGACCACTCAAGCAGCCGGGTAGGCTGGGATCCCTGGCTGGGGCACTCACCAGGGAGGCTGGAGGCCCAGCTCCGGCTCTTGCGAGGAGAGCCGTGGGGGTTGGTGGGACTGGACGTCTTCCCTAAGGGGTGGCACAAGGCTGCTCCTGGTCCAGGGGCTTAGCAACGGAGAGAGCTCAGTGGGCGTTCCGGGCAGGAGCTGGGTGCGAAGAGGCCAGGCCTAGTCTGGCACCAGGGCCCAGGAAGTGTCCCTGGTCTGCTGAGGGGCTTGGGGCATCAGGGACAGGCTGGTGGCCTCACCCTCCACCCTGGGCCTGCCCTGCCCCGCCATCCAGGTTCACAAGAGGACAAGCGGGCGCAGCCACAGGGGTGAGGGTGGTGCAGGGGTGCAGCGTCCGCAGCTGGGCACTGAGCAGGGGACTTCTCTGCCGCTGTGTCTGTGGGGAAGCAGCCACAAAGGCGGGCCTTGCTCAACCCCCTCCCCCACGGGCCAGGCCTCAGGGAGCGAGCAGGCAGGGCAGGAGAGCAGCCCGGCCCACCTCCACCTCCGGGAGGGAGTCGGGTTGCAGGGCTGCTGTTACCTGAGCTGCAGGGACATCTCGGCTGGCTCCTCTGTGCATGTGTGCACACGAGTGCGCGGGGTGGGGGGGCATGTGCATGTGGGGTACACGAGTGCATGTGCACACACGACCTGCATGTGCAGCTGTCCCGGGGCCCCTGCGACGGCTGTGTGCACAGCAGGGGAGGGTGGCTGTGGCAGCGCAGGCGGCTGCTCACTGGACTGTGCACCAGTGTATGTTCCCCGAGTTAGGATGCTGCTGTCCATCCATGTGGGTGTGGGCATCACGCGTGTGCACATGTCTGTCGTGTGTCCATGTGTCTGGAGGACATCAGAAACTGCCCTGGCAGAGACATCTCTCTAGACTTGCCCCCGCCCCCACCCTGAACTGGCCTGGGGAGTCACCAGGAGGCCCTGGCTGTGTCCTGGCTGTGTCCTTGCACGCTGGTGACTGTGGACAGATGACACCTCTGAGCCTCAGCTCCATCTACAAAGTGAGGGTTGCCGAAGCCATTCCATGGGCGAGTGTGAGGCAGCTCCACCCCCAGGCTGGCCCTGACTGCCTGTCCCTGATCTGGCCCTGGGGCACCCACCAGGTGCCCTGACAGCCCCCATGAGCCCGGGTCAGGACTCATCACTAACATCTGTTCTACAGTCAGAGAAACTGAGGCACGGCCAGACAAGTGACCTGGCCGAAGCCTCCATGGGAGAGGCTTTGCCCATTACCGCAGAGG